GATCTCGAATTATTAACACGCAAAATCATCGAACTACTCCCTGTTCCAATATTGATTTATCGTGTCTCCTTATATCTAACGTTATCCTTAATCGATATTAATTCGCGTTAGAGAGGCTTAATTCGATGACAAGCGTCGATGCTCACTCCATTGCGTTCGCTCTCTAGTTTCTCTTCGAATCGAAGAGATCGATTCCTCCCTTCCCTCGTTAAAAACTGTCTCGATTCAGGTGTGTAATTTAAAATGCAAAATTAAAATGCCCGTTGAAAAAACTGGTCCCTCCGGGTCGAATAACACTGTTGCACTTATAATTACACGCATGATATATCGCTTGTCCGGGGTGAGACTCGTTATATCGATACTTACACTGACTCTTGGTAATCGTTCCACGCTTTCGTAATTTCTCGTTCGATATCTTTTTTCTTTCCCTTCGTTTCTTCCTTCTTTCTTCGTTTTCTGGATTTTCGATCTTTTCTTATTTTCTAAGATAAAAATATTTTTATTTTTTATCTTTCGATCGAAAAAGTATATACGATGAATCACAGGCAAAATTATTTAATTAATATAAAATAATTTTATTTTTATATAGATAATAATAGATACACTTGACGATCTGTATTCTGATATTTCTTACTATGCAAAACATGATAGTGATTCATGGTATTTACATTTTGTCTAATTTATAAAAAGGAAAAATAATATAACGAATGAAGTTACGAGTAGACATCTTAGTTAAATGTTCAATCAATCATCAGCGATTAAGTATTGTATCATCGATGATTGTAAAAAGATTGAAAGGATTTATTACTAAAAAAAGAAGAAATCTAGTGAATTTTCATCATGAGGCGAAGCTCAAAACAGTCGCCGTTGAAGATGCAAAAAAGGGCACACTCGTGTCTCTAATTTCCTGAATTATTCATAAGTTTTAATACAAACTGTACGCCTTCGTTTCGTCGATTTCCATTAAATTGCGATACTTTCATTTAGTTTCATTAACCAAGCCGTTTTTCACGTTCGTCCAGCCTGGTTTTCTTACGCCACCGATACGTCCTAGATACGTCTCCCAACTTCCTGCGATTGAGAAATTTCTTATTGCGCCGGATACGACTTCCGTTTGGGTTCGAGAAATTAAAATCCTTCGAAATTCGCGATTCAAGGTTTCCATTCTTGCTGAACAATATTTTCTGTTCGAGGATGAAAAATAATAGCAAGCTTTATTCTGATTCGAGATAGTTTAGGAATTATTACGTTAAGAACGAAAAATTTGTGTTCTGAATTAGACAATTTTATGATTCAATTTAGGAATTGTTATATTGGGGATGAAAGTAAACTTGTGAAGTAAATTTTATTCTGATTTTGAGAATTAGTTTAAAAATTATGTATTTAGTGGTCTTTGAATTGAATAAAATAGATTTTTTATTTTTTATTTTTTTTTTTTATTGGAGAATAATATATTTAATAGAATACGGCAATAATCTGTACGAATGGAAGCTTGAATTATTCGTTATTTGCACCTAGAGTCGAACTTACATAAATTTTTCGTTCTTACACCATCCTTAGATTTACCTCTGAGCTATGGATCAGCTAGATAATCTTGCTGATAAATCTTGGAGCTAGTCTTGTACCAAAGACATTTTTCAAATTCTTTCTTTCTCCTTACATTTTTCCTTTATCTTCACGCTTCCACTGACTTTTGTGTGCAGAAAGTTGTTGAGTTACAACCTTCCAAGACGAAACGATTTTTATACATATAAAATATGCATCAAAAAACGAAGATTCATCGATCTAAAATTTTCCAAAATTCTTTTAACATTTTCTAATATTTTAATTAAGAAAGTTTGCAATTATACATCTCTTTCTCTCTTTCTTTCTCTCTGTCTGTTCCTTTACATAAAATTTACCAAAGAAGATCTCGTATTCTATCATTCTATCTTTACTATCGATTATCCATGTGTCTGGCAACCAGTGACAGAAGTGAATATCTTCCCATTTCCGATATCCGTATCTATCTTAACTTCGCCAATTTACAGTTTCTCCAACGTAGCAGAGAAATCTTATTCCGTACGGCACCATCTATCTATCTATCTAAATAATGAAAATCGAATTCTCCAAGATTTAAGATCAATGCTAGGATTAAAAATTAATATAATGAAAATTATGGAGCAAAGCATTAAATATCGTAATAAAAAATTTAAAATAGTTAAATTCATTTATATAATAATTTAACACACTAGAATGTAAATCATGTTAACTGAAAAATATTTTCGCTTAAGAAAAATCTACATAAAAGAAATTCGAAACAATCCAAAATCATTATCCCTTCGTCGTGTCTTTCAACGATCGAATATTTACGAGATTTTGCAAAGATACTTCGAATAAGCTGAAAATTATTGCTCTTTCTATTATTAAAAAATTTCAATCGCCACCAGAAATCGTTTTCTCCAACGACTCGAGTCAAGAGGAAACATCAATTTTTCCATTTAACGAACAACTTTTAAAGCAATGTTAATCTTAACCACGGCTCGAATTCTCTTATTGCGCACACCTTGCGTGTGCAGGTTGTAATGCGAGCACAAGAGCTGAAAGATCATCCGATTAAGAGTATAGCGAGCTACTCGATCCGGGGCCACGATATCTCGTGGGGTACGTGTGGGCACACGCGTGTGCGCAACACGTGTGCGCATTAAACCGGCGATCCTAGCGCTCACGTGGATTAACGATCGGCTGACAAATCAAATTTATCGCGAGATTTCGTTTCGCGTGATGCTTGAACCGAAGGCAAACGAGCGTGAAAGGCTGTGTGCTCTCGCCTCCTTCTCGATTCCACCATTCCTCTATGGGAATGATGGAGAGAATGCAATGAAATCCCGAAGTATTTAACCGGTTTATTGTTGTGGCCATTTTGTGATTCGGTAAAGGTTACCGTAAAAGTGGATCGGATTACAGATTTGTAGGAGCGCGTTGGGAAAGGGTAGAACGGATGTGGAAATTTGAAAGGTTTCTTTTGCGTCAGATGGTATATTTTTCTGCGTGAAATTTAATTTTGATATTAATATAATCAAAATTTCTAAAAATAAGAAGAGAATTTTAGAGAGAATTTCGATTCAGTTCTAATAAATTAAGCAACATGATTGTCGATCCATCCTATGATTAAATCAATAATCAAAAATATACGAATATTTGTATGTATATTCTGTGTCATTAATTTAATTAAACGAATCTTCATAGAGCATTTACACGTACGAACATCGAGGAAAATGGAACGACTGTATATAAAAATTTCACCTTATAGATTCCCTTCGGCGGAGAGACAATTTCGCGAGAGCGAGCTTGCTGTGAAAATCCACGATTCGAAATGACGAAAAGAAAGAAAGAAAAAAAAGGAAAGAAAACGAGGAGGACAAAGCGCGTGTCAAATTTTTCCATGCATTCGCAGACGAACGTGGTAAAATTTTTACACTGCGCGTTCAAATTTCGTCCTCCCTTCCCCCGACAAGAGTGGGCTTTATCATACGGTATGTACTTTTTTACGAAACGTACACGAGGCGAGTGACAAAATTAAAATAGAACGGAAAATACCCGTGTCTATTTTTCCACCTCTTATTTTCCTTTCCATCCATTCCGTGGGGGAAAAAAAAAAAAAAAAATATATCGTTTCGTCCCCTCTATCGCGGTGAAATTGCAATTTCCAGCGTTTCGCTTATCGCGTCTCGCCGATTATACCGAGATCCATCGATCGATAATCCGAAACAACAGTGGGAGGGGGATAGTTTCGAGATATCGACTCGTGGACGAGTGCTGCGCCATTATTAAGTCCAACGAATTCATTGGGTTTCATTCCCCAAACAGGGATGGAATTCGACACCCTTTTCACGAACTACTCACCGCCGGACGACAATGAGAGAAGCGAACAATGATCTCTCGCGCGGATAATGCGGAAGAGAATTAACTCGAAATCCGCTCACCGGTGTGAGCCGGAGGGAGGGGGGATTGGAAGAAACTTTCGAGAGAAACTTGGCGACGATTGAAATTTGGAAAAAGTTGGAAATTTATCTTCTGGTCCAAGTATTTTCAACAATCGAGTTCTTCGATGATCGAGAAAGTAATTTTACAATTTATATATTTTTGATATATATTGGAGAGGTAGGGATCGATGATGCGAAATTTGGAATTTGTTTTTTTAGAATTTTTTAAAAGAATAGATTCGATGATTTTTTGGAATTGAAAATGTATAGAAATTTAATCGTTGGAGATAAAAATTTGGAAAAATTTACTGAATTTTCGTTCCCTCTTTGATGAAAAGTTTTGATTGCCGATACAAATTTGGAAAAAGCGAAAATTTATTTTTTCCTGTTAGCATTTTTCCCTTTTTTTTTTTTTTTTTTTTTTTAATGAGATTTTTATAGAAAGCTTCGACAGGATAAAACGTTTCAACGAGGAGCGGGAGATTCGTTGGAGAGTATTTTGATAATTCGTTGGAAATAGACGTGCTGTTAGCCATAATTGAAATCATACATAACGCGTAGCAATGATTTAAATGCTTGTTCGTATCAAAACTTAATTGGCGTCATGATAAATCCATTAGCTGGGAAAGAAAATGGAGAGGCGAAAATGATGCCTATTCGCGAGATTAAATTTAAAATTCTAATATCTAAAATTTAAAACTCTCTGTAACTTAAAACTAAATAACCTGTACATCATCCCTTCAATTCTCAAAAAAGTGCTCCACGATCACAGTTGACATCCCTTATATCGTGCTAAATCAAAATAACGTGCAAAATACCCCAATCGTTGAATAAAATTCTATCCAATTGAATAAAATTTACTCGTCCATCCGAGAACATCAATGACGTCAACGCATAAAAAATTCATAGAGCTGCGTAACCTGCGACGTCAACACGCATAAGTTAGCCCGGAAGCATCGCGCTTGCATTGTTCGACATATTGTATCCACTGGCGTTGTGCGAGCTCCTTTCAAGAGCCGGTCGACTTCTTGTTACGCGCTCGCGGACAGAAAGAGAAAGAAAAAAAGAGAGAAAGAGAGAGAGAGAGAGAGAGAGAGAGAGAGGAGGCTTTATCTCGAAAAGCCACGCTTGAATAAAGCCTTTCACCAAGCGTCGAAGTCGCCGTTATCGTGCAAAGGCTTAGAATTTGACGTTCCTTTGCAAACAAGCATCGATCTTTGATTTTTTGCTTTGAAATTAGAGGAATTTGAAGAATATGAGAAGCTCGATGTATTTCTTTTTATGGTGAATTATAATAAGTTGAAAGGAAGTATAATATATTTGCAAAATGGTAAACGTTTAGCATTCGAAATATTTTTAATATAATTTTGGATCAATTGAAATTTTGAGTAGTTTCGAGCGATGATTCCATGATCATGGAATTTTATTGGAAGTTTATCGATCAACAAGTTTATCTTATCTTATCGTTTTCCTCTTTTCGTTACTTTTCTTCTTTATCCTTTCCTTTCCTGTTTTTCAACCTTCTTTTCATCGTTTTTTTTTTTTTTTGCTCGCTTCCATTCGCTGCTCGGCGAGGTTCACCGTTCGAGCACTGTTTTAAATTTTTGGCAGGATTGCTGGAAGTTTAATGCGATTTCCGATCGTCCTCCAAGACGTTTTATTTATAGATCGCCGAGCAGTGTCACGTTTTCACGAAATAAAACAACGTTGAAAAAATAAATAATATTTTTAAAAGTAATAAATTATCCTTTTTTTTTAACGAGCAAAACTCAAAATTATTCTCGAAATTTCACTTCTTCCTTCGCCTCGTTAAAACAACCTCTTTAAATTTATCAAAAAATTCACCTTCAACGATTCCATCTCGCGAGAAAAACACGAGTCATCCTTTCGAGCGTTTCATTGATCATAAACATCGTACGAAACTATATTCGTACAAAACATGTATACAACTTCGATATCATCGTTTACGTTGACGTCGTCGCCAAGCCCTTTCTCTTCTTCCAAAAGAACGGCGCCAACCGTGAATGAGAGATTAATTACATCTGCTTGTGTATCGTAAGCAAACGTGGCACTGGAATGAAAAAGGGTTGGTCGCCACCCTCTTCCTCCCCTCGCCTCTCCCTTTGCCCGCCTAAAGAATCGCTAATTAGCCCAAGTTTGCTCTTTTTTCCTTCCCTGTTCCACGCGTTATTTCCTCCTTTTCACACCTCTTCTCACCTCTTTCTTATCCAGACATCTATCTTACTCTTCCAGTAGGAATAACTTTTTTTCTTCTATTACGAATTCTTTCTTATCCACACATCTCTCATCCTTCCAGTAAGAATAATTTTTTTTCTTCTATTACGAATTATGATCGAAAGTATGTTGAGGAGTAAACGTTTTAGTCGATAAGTGGGATTGATCGAGTGATGTTTAGTAAATTTTCCATTAGAGTTTGTCTAATTAATTTTACCAAACTTTATATTGTTGCATATGTTAAATAATCGAAATGTATTAAGATTGACTTAGCAGTGGTTTAAAAATTGATGAAAATGCAAAAGGCTCGGTTCAAGATAAAATATTTTTTGTATGAATTCTCTCTCAATCGATAGATTTCATCGATCTCGAAAGACAGATTTTTAATATCAAAGAAACCTTACAAAGAGTAAGAGAATATTTCGTATTATTACGATTTGCTTCGCTCCGCTACGAATTACAATTAATCACGATTTGTGAACGATTGTCGTGCGTGAAAAGGCACGATACCAGAACGAAAACGAGGCTTTCGTTAATTATTTTAACCACGATCGATCCACGCATATTGCGGATGGGTTTGATTAAATGGCGCTCGGCGAAGAATCTCATTTCTCGCTTTCACCGAGATAATATCGATTCCGCTCGGTAGCTCGGCCAGTTCGTGGTGGATGGATCGATCGTCGTTCCCTCTAATCTTTCTTTACGAGGATAAATAATTTAATTCGATAAAGAAGACCTTTGTTTTCGTGGATGGTATTTGCAAAGACGAAGGCGGACAAAACAGTTGCATTATGAGATTGCATAAGAATGAGAGGAGAGGCAAGTTTATGATACTTGGCAGAGAGAGGATTCTCACGAGTATAAGATAGATTGAAGTGATTTATCTGCGCTTCTTACGATCCGTCCCGAAGATGTTATTTATTTCTATTGTAATTGGAAGATGGATACGATGCCTGTTGTTGTATTTTTCTAAAATTTTTCTCGAATAAATATTGAAAAGAATTTTTCTAATATTTTTGTTTGAAAAATAATAATACGATAATTTCGATGACTGCAATTTTGCTGTTCAAACATTACAATCCGATATAATAAAATCCGTGTGAAACTTGTGAAATTTTACTTTCGAATGTCAATTGGGGAGGGAAGAAGGTAAACTCGGTTTAGATGTCATTTTCTACAGATAAAGACAATCTCGAAAATCAGGTACAGTTCGATGATGGCCTGTCAAACGCGAGACTACTATTACTGAGCGAGTGACGTCCAACACGGATAATTTTGGATTTGTAGAAATTGATATAGCTTTGCCTATATCCGGGATCATCGAATTCGATACAAGATCGATAATTAAACTCTGCCGACACGATACGCAATCCTAGCCCGCGGGATACACATCATGCGGAAAGCGGCACGCGAGGGCGGATGCAAATTATTATTATAACTAGAGAAACGTTGATCGAGTGTCAGCAGATTTGGAATACGATAACTTCGACATCAATTGGACGAACCTCATTGAGATCGATATGAAAGGCAATGAAGGCACGATACATAATTAACCTCAAATTAACGACATGTAGTATTAACATTGTGGAATTTTATATAATTTTAAAAACTTTGTAAAAATATGGCCATTAGTATAATTTCTGTAATACAGAAGAAGATTTTTAAGGTTCCTTTAAGAAGTTCCTCAAGTTCTTGTCAATAAGACGTTCTTTCGTTTAAATTTTGTATGGCAGATTCCACATCGAAAATTATCGAATCGAGTATCAATGGAATTCGTGAGTCGATGAATAAACATCGTTGCGAATCTATATATTATTGCGCATGATCGATGATATCTGTTGGTATCAGTTCTCGATGATGTACGTATCACCCGATCTAATCCATTTACACGGGTTGAGTTTCGTCACTGCTACATTACCCTTGTCTTATCTCGTGTTCACGTTCGAAAACATTCGTTCGCGCTTGTAGCGTATCGTGTCGACTCTCTTACAAGTTAAAAGATGAATAGAAATTCGTACGAATACTAGATTCTAGATTAATTCACGAAAATTCGAACTTTAAATCGAAACTCTGACTATATATACAATACCACGAGAAGAAAAATGGCGAAGAGATTCCATAGGCCATTTTTCCAAAGATATAAAGGCGAAGTTGTTAGAGGCCGCAGCCGGAGTTGAACGAACGAAAGTTATGAACAGATACGACACGATGGATTAACGATTCTTCTGTGGACAGTAGAGGAAAAAAAAACTTTTAATTTATATACCGAGACGGGACGTTCCGCACAGAAGAAGAAGAAGAAGAGGAAGAAGAAGAAGAAGAAGAAATCTTCTCTCTTCTCCTCGACCATATCTTATTTTTCTTAATGGTCATATCTGTATATGGGACTTTTGTACTTGGAATCGGTGTCCTCCTTTTATATCCTTCAACGTGCAAACGTGAAACGATGCGGAAACCAAGATACCCCGTCCCTATCGGCCCGTTTCTTCTTATTTTCTCGGCCGAATATTATCGATTGAGACTTCTTCTTCTTCTTTTTCTTTTTCTTCTTCTTCTTCTTCTTTTTCTTCTTCGAGGAGTTCTTACGACTTCTTCGCCAGACTTTTTCCTCGGTAATTTCTTTTTTTTTTCCTCGGATGGTGCTTCGAAGGGAGTAATTGAAACGTGAAGTTTCGTTTGAACGGATTAACTTGGCGGACGGTTGAGAAATATTGTTAAAATTGGTCGGACTTATTTGCCTCGTATTCTCCTCTTGTGAGAATAAGAATATGTAATTGAAGTCGAGCAGATGCCTTTTCGATCTTTGGTTTTTAAATACAATTTGGAAAAATATATATATTCATCGTGTAAATAATGATTGAATCAAGAGTCGTTTATAAAGATAAACGCGAGAGTGTTGAGATAACAATTAAACAATTTCGAATGATATAAATAGAGAATTTTAAAAAATTCTTTTTAAAAATTTATGAAATTCGATGCGAATAATTTTTGTAATTTTCAAAAATATAATGGATGGAATCGAATAATTATCATCCTCCATTCTTCTCCGAATTCTCCTCAATCCTTTTCATTCCAGTTCCATCGAAGTGCCAACTATCCACTGTAAATTACTTCATTAATGTTGGCATTAGATTTTCGTGATCGTTTCGCGAACAAGATCTAGCTACGCCACTAGTTACACTACGCGAAAGCTGTTTCTATTATGAAACATTAGTTTCCTCAAGTTCCAAGTTAACAATCAATCACTTGGCGCAAATCGCCTATCCGTACGTCAGGTACAGTTGCATTTAAAGCGTCGCTTGCTATACAGTTATATACAGGCGTGCTTCTCTCTCTTTCTCTCTCCAATACCGTTTCGTCGAACAACTTTCATCGATATTCATCGTTCTCGTAAAAGGTAATTAATTTCTCGAAGCGAATTCATCAAATTAATACGTTATAATCGAGAGTGCATTAAGCAGACAAAGGTCCATTTTTTTTTTTT